GTGAATTTAGTGTCATTTGTTCATGGTGAAGGGACTGGAGTCCATGTTGATGAAAACACCTTGGTGACTGTGGTGACTGGCAGTGGCTGAAGCAGTGGGGTGATGGGGCTGGTGCCTTCCCCTGATCAGCCTGGTCACCTCCCACAAAGGGAGGCCAGACTGTAGCTTAGGCCCCCTCCCCAAGGGGAGCAGGGAGCGGGCCTAAGCTGTCACTAGGACATCCCTGAGGGCTCCCAGTATGCGACAGGGGGCAGGCTGGGCTGAGGGACACCCCTCCCCCGACCAGTGCATGCCTTTCGTGCACTGGGCCCCTAGTTATTAAAGAATTTACAAACCAGGGGAAAGTGAACCACTCAATTTGGACCCTGGGTAGGAATGAAGAGGTCACAGGGGCTTGTCAAAGCTGTCTCGGGTGGGTGGAGAGGCTGAGTCAGTGTTGGAGGAGCTGTGATCCCAGCATGCTGGCAGGGACAGCAGAGGAAGGGGGCCAACAAGAGCTAAAAGTCTGGGTTTCACATTAGACCTGGGTTTTGATCATAGTTTTATCCCTTGGGAAAGATATGTTCTTGGGCAGATTACTTAACCTCTCTGAGCTTTGACTACAGTGGAGACAAGCACCACCTTCTAAGACTATTGAGTGATTTTGGTGAAATAATATGTATAGGAACCAAGTACAGTAACTGACACATTGAAGGAATTCAATGGTTGCTATTATTACTATCATGTTAGTAATTATTACGTAATTTCTTTTGAGGATACATTTAGAAAAACAAGACACTTATAACTGATCATTATGCCTCTTTTTTGGATACTCTATTGCATGGGTTCTTAACCTTTCCAAGAACTCACAGGAGGTCCATGGATAGATAGATATCTGTGAAAAAGAATATTAAATTTAGATGGGAGAAAAAGTCATTATTCTTATCAACCTCAAATGAACATTTAGTATTTCCTTTATTATGACTGCATGCAACAAATCTCAGTAGTATCAGCAATACTGATCATGCTTTCATCAACAATACAAAGTTACATATTATTTTCATATCACATTAAAATCATTGCAGGATCTTGAAATCTCATTTCAGTTGGAATCATGTTGCAAAAGAACAGTAGTTCTTAGACCCACTCATTAGACCACTGCTAGTCACCCGTGGTCACTGTTTACCTATGCAGAGACACTGATGTGATAGAGCTGGCCATTAAGAAACCCATATCATAATTTTCAAAATCATTTTGATAAAATACTTCAATATATTGATTTATTTTGTAATCCTATATACTTTCATTTATTCACTTTTAATTTTCTCTTTCTTTCTTTCTTTCTTTCTTTCTTTCTTTCTCTCTCTCTCTCTCTCTCTCTCTCTCTCTCTCTCTCTTTCTTTCTTTCTCTTTCTTAGTTTTTGATCCGGGGATATTTCTTTCCTCTTTCCTCCAGACAGAGAGAGAGAGAGAGAGAGAGAGAGAGAGAGAGAGAGAGAGAAACATGGATCTGTTGTTCCCTTTATTTATGCATTCATTGGATGTGCCCTGACCAGGGATCAAACCCACAACCTAGGTGTATAAGGACCATGCTCTAACCCAGTGGTCGGCAAACTGCGGCTCGGCAAATTGCAGCTTGCGAGCCACATGTGGCTCTTTGGCCCCTTGAGTGTGGCTCTTCCACAAAATACCAATTTCTGCACATGGGCCACAGAGTTTCAATCGCTCTGTACGTGCGTGCTCGAATGTGGTATTTTGTGGAAGAGCCACACTCAAGGGGCCAAAGAGCCGGATGTGGCTTGTGAGCAGCAGTTTGCAGACCACAGCTCTAACCAACTGAGCTACCCTGCCAGGGCTATTCACATTTTTTAAAAATTCTTTATTGTTTGAAGTATTACATATGTCTCCTTTTCCCTCCGCATACCCAGCACATGCCTTCACCCCTCTACTATCTGTGTCCATTGGTTATGCTTATATTCATTCAGACAAGTCCTTTGGTTGATCTCTTACCACCTCCCCTCCCTTGCCTTCCCTCTGAGATTGTGTTACAGAATTTACTGGGTGACCAGAAAATACACATAGGAGTACTTGGAGATACAGGTTGTCCCCCAAATATGGGTCAGACTTCCGGGCCTTTCGTGGGCTCTGAAAAAGCCCTGTGTGTTGGAATGGGGGACGTGAGATCACACCTAAAGGCTGGCCTGGCGCCAGCGCTGATAAACCACTCAGGGGTTGTGTATGGTTCATGGTTTATGGCCTCTGTAAAACGGGAGCATTAGAGTATTTAGGTCTTGCAAGACCAGATAATTAAGGAAGGGGAAGTGAGTTAATTATCGGCTAGCAAGAATGTGCATTAGGGATACTGATTAAGTACAGTCAGGCTGCTAGCTGCCCCCCCGCCCCCCCCAAAAAAAAAGTCTTATTTCCTCATCAATTGGATGGTCTGTTCTCTAAACAGTATCCTTGATAAAAGTCTGTAGACTTCATCAGACTGCCAGAGGGACAGAAGTACAAAAAAGATTAGAATCCTTCAGTCAAGAAAGTGCTGTTGCGTGCCTCACAGGCAAGGGGAGCTCTGTGTTCTAACAGCTAGCAAAGATGCTTTATTAACTGCTTGTCTGTTGCTGAGGCAAATAAACACCTTTAGAGATGTAGATGTGAACAAAAACAACTCCATCTCTGTGTTCCAGATTTCATTTCATTTTTTGTTTCATGCTGCAACCTTTCACTAACCTCACTCACTGTTCTTGGCAAGTATATCAAAGCCTTTTAGTTGATGACATCTGTGTGCCTTAAAACATAGCCATAAACACTGTTGGGAAGGAGGGACAACTGGAGATAAGTATCAAACTGGTGATAGCATCGATTATAAGCAATTATCTATCGCAAGACCACCAGGAGGCATGGCCTCTGTCACTACTGCAGTCTTTGTCCCTGTCTTGTCAATTATAAGTACCTGTCATACTTTTTTTTTATATAGTAACAGGGGTCCATAGAAGAGAATAATCTGTGCAGAATTGTTGGGTCATGTGTTCTGCTCAGACCCAAAGTTCCCATAAGTAAATTACTGTGCAATATATTCTATTATATTTTAATGGAGTTGCCTGCTTCGTTTGTTGGTCTTAACATACCATCCTGTTACAGTGGTCATTACAGCTTAGCTCCATCATCAGACAACATTGAAAGCAGAAAATTTCTGAAAACAATTCTCAATAAATAGATCAGGGGATCCTGTCGCTTGAAAGAGCCTAACTCTATACAACCAACATAAAATATCAAGAAAGAAAATATTTGTCATCCCTCCCCCGCCCCAGCCTGATGCCAGCAGTACCCAGCAGAAAGGTAGGCTACCTAACAGGTGAGGCCTCCAAGGGATAGCAGAGCAATGAGCAGAGGAAGGTAGGAGAGGAGGGAGGGGATGAGGGAGAGAAAGTGGGATAAAGAAACAGGGAAACACACAGTACCTAACAATAGAGGTTTCATAACCTGCAGACTGGAAAAAATAGGAAGAAAAAAAGGAGACATTTTAAACAAAAGACAATGAAACTAAACAAGAACAAATGGTAGTGGATACTTTATTTTGTTGTATTTAAACAAGAAAGTTTGGGATATTTCCTTGTGGTCCTCCTGCCCCATTTCCCTTCTCCCCCATTTTCTCATGGTGCTTTATTCCGTTTCCCATCATCCTTCCTGTCTAATTATCCAGGCCTTTCTCTTAAATACGTGATCCTCAGTGCTTGTCTTTGAAGGACAAAAAAGTTTGCACATGTTAGGAAAACTTAGGATCTGAAGTGCTTGCAGCAACCAGCAGCATTGTACCTTTTGACTCATTCATTAGGCTTGGAGCATCGTGAGTCAGTCGTCCCACTCTGGGCAAGGAGCTGTCCCTCCCAGAAGGCAAAAACAGTGCAAAGAAGCTTCATATTAGAGAGTTGCAGGTACATCAATGGGAAACACCATATAAACAATGAAAAAAATCATCTTTTCAAGTTGTTGGATTTTCTCCTTCATGATCTTAAAAAAGCTACTAGAAATCTTTCATTTAATAAACACAAGCACATATATACAGTAGAAATTTGGATGTAATATTTATCATTGCAATGTTTCTTAAAAACATTACTTCAGAGTTTATCTCAAATGCGTTGAGGACCATCACTCCATCTGTAAATAATCTCAAGAGGGTGGTTTATTTTCTCATTCCTTAAAAAATATATATATATATATATTTGTTTACTAAGTGCAAACACTGACATCACATGAAAATGACAGTCTTTACACACATTTATAAAAGGAGCATAAAAGAAGTATGATACACTAGTACAAAGTTTTACAAATTAATACAAGTAAAATATATAAATTACAATGAAATGAAGGAAGATTGTGGTTCTGTCTTGGGTGGTTATTTTAACAGTCATATTGCTGTAAAGAAAATGAAATATGCATTAGGTTACAAACAGCCTAAATGAACAATGATGGCACTTCAGTCTTTTAAATTCCTATTTTAAGCAAGCATGAAGCTGGCTGATCTCAGCTTCAGCAGAGTTTCTAGGGACAATACTGAAAGCTCAGACAATACTCACAAAACATTTCCTAAACAAACCAGACAGACCAGTTGTCCTCTCGGAGTAAAAGTTGCAGAAAGGGTCCATGGAGACTGTAGCTTACCAATGCTACAGTTACATACTCTTTGAGCATGTTTGGTAGGTTTTTGATCTTAGGAATTTTAGAGATAATGCCATGGGAGTTTCACACAGGAGTGGGCTCAGTGTGGGTAACCTTTCTCATTAAATGCTACCGAGTTCTACAGTTGACTCATCTTCAGTAAAACCTTGCCCTTTGAAAGTCACTTTTGTCTTATAAACAAAGGTAACAGAGCTGCTCTGCAGTGTTGGGAAAAGCAGACACTCCTACTGTGACTCAAATGTAAACCCAGGGGGACTATTTTCTCCCTCCCAGGAGAGAGTGTCACTCTGCTAAACCACTACAGTAACTTTGGTCATTGACATATTATGCCTGTCCCCAATATGCATGAGAACTGAGGTCTAGTGGGGCCTCACAAAATTTAAACTGTGCCTTATATGAAGCTCAAAGCTAAAGAGAGGTTACTTAGTAATCAGAGAGGACTCTTCTCTGCCTTTCCCAAACCATCTTGCTGGAAACAGCTCATGGTAAAGGGTTCCCACTCCTTTGTTTTCTTGGGAATTTGGCGAGCTCCCAAGGAAATTATTAATCTTACTGGATTAGCCTAATAAGGCAAACTAGATTTTTATTTTAACTTCCCCTCAAAAAAATTAGAAAGTTTCCATTTACTTACAGCAATGTGTATTTTTTATGGTAATAGTGGACTTTTGGTGTTCATTGGGTTTTGTCTTATTTTAAAAGAAAGTTAAGAGACCTTGAACTATTTACAGAGAAGTAAATGGTTAAGGAAATATACATTAAATAAATTTCTATTTACCTAATCCTGTTTTACAGAATAAGACATAAAACAACACCACCCTCCAAATTAGACCAAAGCTGACCTTCCATCAATTTAATAATATATAATTTTTAGGAGGCTATAGAAACAAGATGTTCCCCACTACTAACAAATGCATATTTTTCTCCAAAATCATATCCCCAGGAAACAACTGCTTCCTGGTTTTCTTTCACAGTGAAAGGCTTTTCATGAGCTGCTACTAGTGATTCTCTCTGCTTAGCTGTTTGAGCTTTTTATGACTTCTTATTACGAAGGAGCTGTAGAAAACCCAACAGAACAGCAAGTATTGCATACAGGTTAAGAGCAGGTGCTGCAGCAAAAGATGACCCAGGGTTGGAAGCCCATTACTTTCTTGACTAAGTGATTTTAGGCATATTGCTTAATGTCTGAGTCACAGTCTCAGCTGAAAAATCGGTTTAACACTATGCCTAATGCAATGAATGTTGACTATTATTTGTGAAAACTAGTTGGGAACAGGAGAGAAGCAAAGAGAGGACATTTCTTTTGTGTCTGCAGCCAGAACAGTGGGCTGGCTCCTGAATGGGGCACTTTGTCTATGGGTGGCATTTTCCCATATCCACAGAGCTAATGATGAAGGTAACTGTAACATTCAAGGAAACTTATTATTGAGAGCAAAACTGAACACTATAAATACTTTGCCACAAAGACAATGTAGGAATAAATGCTGGTAGGCTGAGCAATGTTTGATTTTTGCTTTTTTCTCTGCTACAGTGCATTATATTGATTGACTACATGAGAGACAGGCTACAATTTTTTCATGCAGGTTCTTACCTGATGGTGAGTACAGCAGTAGCCACATATGCCTCCAAGCATTCCGTTTATTACTTGAATGAGACACAAGATGAATTCAATTCCACCTAGTGCCAAGAGTATAGAAAACAGAGAAACATTCCATTCCACAACGTGCCTGGGTTCGATGCACTGGGACCATGTGGATGTATCCAGAAGGTATCTGTGCATAAAAAGAGAAACTTCTGACACATGACCAGACCTAATGGGATATCTCATAAGCTACTTTTTGTGCAGTGTTTTTTCATTCAGAAAAAAGGAATGAATTAATTCAATGGCCTATATCTCAACTTCTTCCAATCCATGACATTCCACAAAACAACAGTTTAGCCCAATTTTGTTGCCATGATAAACATAAAACTTAACAGAGAGTATTGAGCACTCAGTGTGAGACATTGAGCAGGGCTTGGAATGCAATAGTGAACATGACATGGGCCCTGTCCTGGAAAAGCTCAATTTCCGGGAACAGACAATAGGCTATCTCACGCAACAGATATACTAATCAGGTAAACCAAGTGTGAAAAAGCCACAGAGGAATGAAAACTAACTTAGACCAGGGAGAAGACCTACATATGTAGATTTCCCACAAGTCTGAGCTTCATGAAGGTAGAAACCAGACCTTTCATCATTGTTTATTCAGCCCCTAGACCACTATCTGGCACATAGTAAGTTCTCAATACATTTTTAAAGTAATTGAGTGATACATAACAATCCAAAGTTACTATGAGAAATGTTAGGAAATAATGCTGAGGTAATATCTGAATATATATATATAATCAATATTCTTATAGTCTGAAAAATTCTCTCATTCTTCTAGAATTTTGACCTTTGGTACATCATAGAGTGTTTAAATCCTTAATGAAACAGGATTTAATTATGTGAGAAAATCTAGGATTGACTTAATTCCACAAAGAGGTCTGGTATGATTCTTTCCTTTTCAGTTTTTCCTACCACACAGAAAGGGGTTGGGAATTAGAAACTTAATTTTGGAATGGCTCACTGAGACAATCCACAAATCAATTTGTTTAGAAAACATTCTGTCCTTCGGCTCTGTCTTTCTTTTTTAAAATTCTTCATTGTTTAAAGCATTACATATGTCTCCTTTTTCACTCATTGCCCTCTCCCCAGCCATTCTACCCACCCCCACCTCCACCCCAGCACATGCCCTCACTTCCCTACTGTCTGTGTCCATGGGTTATGCTTATGTGAATGCATACAAATCCTTTGATCCCAACCCTGTTTTTCTGTATGTCACTGAAACAAAAACCTGTAATTTCAGGATCAAAAGTAAAAAAAAATTCTTTGGCCCCACTTGGCTATTGAACAACTAATCACTGGCTTGTGACCATTATTATTCCCCATGTTGCAATCCCTGAACAGGTTGAAATGAGGAATAACATAGAAGCAGTTTTCTTGTAGAAGCTAAGGTGAGTTATGGGAGGGGTCATAAAAAACTTTAGCAATGGCTCTCAACTCTCCTTGTATTCCAGCTATATTAGTCATAACTTTTTAAGAGATGGGTTTTTTGCAGTAGTTTTGTATGTCTGTGCATACATAAACAACCAATTTCTACTAGTACATTCAGTATGTACTGAACAAAAAAAAGTCACAATTTTTGAACACCAAAATTTTACTCCTGTAAGTGCTAATTTTCTTTCAAAGGCTACCATTGGGCTGTATTCATTGTAAGCATGTAGATGATATTAACAGCTAACAGTGATAGTGCTCACAGGATATTTGCTTCTATGACAAATATTTTACATATGGTATCCTGCTGACAGCTGCCACTAGTTTTATTTTACAGATGAAGTAACTAAAATGCAGAGATCTCAGTTCACTTTTTCCTGGCCATTTAGAGAATAAATGGAGAGCTTGGAAAAAACTCAGGTTTATCTAATTCCATACTCAATCTTATGACCTTATTACATGCTATAAAATTCATGGGGGACAAACACTCTTCATAATATAACGGTAGTTAAAATTCATTATTCATATTATTTTTACTTATTTATCGCTAAGCCTTTCAAAATTCAAAGAAGCATGTCATTCACTTGTTATAATGTACATCAGTTTCTATTAGCTGTTTCGGTTCATTTCTTAATAACAGATAAGAAATAAGTATTAACATAAAAAATGGAACATCATAAATTATCCTGATATTAAAATTATAAGACCTGTCTTATATAGCAACTAGAGGCCTGGTGCACTAAAATTTGTGCACTTGCGGGGGGTGGGGGTCCCTCAGCCCGGCCTGTGCCCTCTCACAGTGGGACTCCTCGGGGGATGACCACCTGCTGGCTTAGGCCCACCCTCTGGGGGATTGGGCCTAAGCTGGAAGTCAGACATCCCTCTGGCAGCCCTCGAGCCCTCAGGGGATGTCCACTTGACAGCGAGGAGTAGGCCTAAGCTGCAGTCAGACATCCTTAGCACTGCTGAGGAGGTGGGAGAGGCTCCCACCACCACCACTGTACTGGCAGCCATCAGCCTGGCTTGTGGTTGGGCAGAGCTC